AAAAGTGTTTTGAAAAAGAAAAATAAAACAAGTGGTAGCTTCTGCTCGCTTGGCTGGTTAAAACCAGTATTGTTTTTTAAAAAAGTGTATAGACTTTATTATCATAAAGACAAATAATCTTTTGAGAATGTTTGTTTTTTGGGTTGGCAAAAGAATTAGCGGAAAGAGTTTTTATATATTTTAAAATTTTTATTAAATGTTATTATTATTTAATAATATATAAAAAAATAAAAAATAAAAAATTATTAATTATTTTCTTAAAATTTATTATTATATTATTTAAACTTATTATTAAAGAACTTCAAATAATTTTATTGTCAAAGTATTTTAAAATATTATATACAGTATAGTGTAAAAAAAATGACAATTTTTTTATAATTATATTTTAATTAATACTTTCATATATAATTTTTTTTATAATTTAATATTTTATTAATTTATTTTTGAAGATATAATAAAAAAAACTAATTAAATAATTTTAATAATAATAAGAATTTTTTAATATATTTTGTTTTAAAGTTAAAGATATTGTTAAAAAATTTGATTCAAAAATAAGATTACAAAATTTTTTTTAAAAAAATTATAACTTTTAATTTAATTAATAAATTTATTAAAAAAATTATATATATAAATATTAGAAATGTTCAAAAATATTTATATAAAATTTTTTAGTATTAAAAAATCAAAATTTTTTTTACCTATTTCTAATCACTTTATATATATATATAAGAGTAAAAAAATTAATTTATTTAATATATAAAACAGTATTATGTAATGTTGTTTATAAGGTATTTAATTATATATTTATAAATTTTCATAAATTTTCAATAATTATTTATTAAGTTATAATTAAAAATATAATTGTTATTTTTTTTGCATCATGTTATATCTTATGGTTTTATATTTTTAATTTGATTATATTTAATTTATAATAATTAACTGATAATATTTGATTTGTATAATATATTTTCAGAAATTAAGATTATTCTATATGCATTTTTAATAAAAGATATTTTGATTTTATTGATTATCAAGATTGCTTAAAAATTAAAATCTTAGATACAGTTTAGAATTATAATAATATAATTAGTATTTTTTTATATTTGATATTAAATAATTGAATCCAAAATTTTTTCAAAGCTTTAACTCTTGCATATAGTTAAATAAATAATTAATTATGGTAATATTTTTTTAATTCGTTTTTTTAAGTTTCAGATTTTATAATTTTGACAATTGTTCTATAATCCAAAAACAATTCCATTATACAAAAATTCTCAAATTATTTATATCACATTGTTTTAATGTGCAATAATATTTTTGTAATAAAAAAAAACAAAAAAATCAATTTGGAATGTACTGTATCTACGTATAACTAGAAAAAAAGATCATTATCTTTGTTATATAAATTAACTTTGTTATATTAATTAGCTTTGTTGTATCAGTTACATTTGCTAGATTTATTATATTTATTATGCAGTATAATATAATAAAAATTAAAAAATACAGGTAGGGGAAACCAAAATTTTAAATTCCTACCATAATTCGATGATTTTCTGTTTCATTTATTTTTTTAAAAAAAAAGAAGAATCGATATCTGATATACCTTATGTACTGTGCTGTACGTACAGTATATATCGTACATAATGTAGGGGAAACAGCATAATGTTTACGGTATGCATTTTTTTTTATTAAAATATCTGCTTTAATGGATTTAACAGAAATCCATGTACCATTATGCGTAAATTGCATCTAAGGAACATCTGAACCTGGTAAGAAAATAAATAAATAAATAAATAAACAATTCGCCTATAATTAATATTCGACTATTGTGAAAATTTTGTGCTACATGAGGACCTCCTCTGAGGCTTTAATAGGGGGCATGAAAATTTCTCAGAACAATTATTTATACTAGTGAAAAGAAAAAATAAAATAAAATAAAAACACCTCAGTAATTACATACAGGAATTTTGCAACTTTCCTGCCTTCATCAATTTAACATTTGTGCGTAAAGTTCTCACGACGCTCTTTTGATCATCTAATGAGGAACACAAGAAAAGGCACGCCATTTGTTGGCGTAATTACCAGGAATAGCAAATTCAAGATGAATGTTGTTTTGTCGAGCCACAAAATTATGCGTAAGAGCCATATGTGCACTTGTCCAACTCGGAAAAATTCTCGTTGAGCATATAAATTGTACAAGTTACATACATTATCATACATCATTTTTTTCATTGTTTCTCTTTTTTTCTTTTGAACTTTCATTTAGCTAATTTAAAATTGAAATATCATATTATAATTATGAACGAAAAAAGGAATGATGTATTCAAATTATACTTCCACCTGTTAATAATATTGGTTTTCTTGTGTTGCTTTGTTTCCTGCTATAGCCCAGGCCCTCGTTTTTCGCATGCATCTGCTTTGATCAACGACAAGTTATATGTGATGGGTGGATTTGTACCGGGCAATTCGGAATTACCCATTAATTCGGATTTTTTCTTTCTCGATGTGACAGAAATTCCTCTTTCCAAACCATCGACCGACCTTTCACATCTCACCGTTACGTCTACGTGCTGGGCAACAGCGGTCGCAGGAGGAAGGGATGGTTCACAATTTATAATTTTTGGGGGTCATAATGGTAGTTTGATATTAGCGTTTGACACAACCACAAGCACATGGCTACAACCAACGATTCTGGGAATCCCTCCGATACGGCGAAAGAAAACTCAGGCAGTAATTGATTCCAGCGGAAAGATGTACATCTTTGGCGGGTCCACAGATTATCCAGTTCTAAAATTCTTTAATGATATGATAATATTGGATACCATCTCTTGGAGCTGGAATGTTGAAGTATTTAACAATTCCCCTTCTCCAAGAGACAGTTTCACGGCTGTGATATTACCTTCTGGGATTATCGTTTATATTGGGGGGAGTTCGTCAGATGGGTATTATATTCCAATGGAACAGGTCGGTCGAATGATTTGAAGAGCGATATTTAAAGAACTCGATGCTAAAGGGATACTTATTCATTTCTTAATTGATTTATAGATACATACATTTGACACACTTTCGCTTTCATGGAGTTCTATGGTGCGACATGCATTTCTTTCAATTCAGTAAAACAATTTCCATTAATCAACTTTTTATAATAGAATGCTACCGGGACCATCCCCTCGTCACGTTGTGGAGCCTCATCCGTCTTAAGTAAGGAGTTTTTACTTTTCATCATGACCCTTGGCATTTAAACAATGGATTGTAAAATGAATGAATACATGTTACAGCAACTGATGGACGGGTTTTCGTCTTTGGAGGTTCGATAAGAGTTACCGATGATATTTATGAGGAAGCATACCCCAATTTGGCCGTCTTAGATACCACAAAAACGCCGTATGAATGGTCCACTCCGCGAACAACAAATACTGCGCCGCCTTCGCTCAGTTGGCACTCATCTACTTTAGTTAATGACATAATAATTATTGCATTTGGTATTTGACTCTTTTTGTGCGTCAAGATATTCGTCTTGGCGAATTGATAACTGATCTTCTTTTGCATTTAATCGCAGGAAATATCACTAATTATGGTCCAAGCTCAGAGATATATATGCTAGATACAAGAAGTTATACGTGGATAACATCAGGTCCCGCGTTCAGTCTTTCATATCAAATGGTCAAACGCAGTAACAACGATACATCATCTTCCTCTTCTCCCATCAGCACTTCAGGGATCGTAGGAATAGCGATAGGAGCAGCATTTTTTGGAATACTCATAGCACTTTTTACAATTGTTTTGTTTTATCGTAGATATAAAAGAAAGAAGGCAAGAAATGCCACCGACTCATCAACCTCATCGTCACAAGTGTTAACAACACCAAACGCTATTTCGAATAACAGCAATTTAATACCAAGCAATCAGCAATACCTCAAAACTCCAACTTCGAATAACAATAATTTAATACTAAGCAATCAGCAATACCCCAAAACACCGACTCCAAAGCCACAACTACCGCCTCAGAAACATATAATTCAATATCAATTTGTGCCCGATCCTAATCCTTCCTTAAACACACCATATAACTCTCAACCTGTTGCGGTAATTCCATCTAGTGGTAGTAGTTATCACCAATATTCACCTCAGTCACAATATTATCCAGCCCCTCAACCTCAATCGTCTCTAGTTATGCCTACATTTCAGCCATCTCCGGTTCAACAAAGTTTATCGGTACCGCTACCGCCGCCGTCACCGTTTCCTTCCACCTCATCACAATATCATCAATCTTCACCTCAACGTTCGCCCCGAATTTCGCCCCAATCTTCAACCTCGTTCCAACAACCTCCAGTCATGCCACATTTTCAATAACCTCTTTCATTGTTTTTAGTATAAATTACATAGAAAAATGATGTGAAAAAAAACAGAAAAAAAAAAAAATCAACTAATATAATAAATATATCACCAATAATTTCAATTATTCAAATTCGATTTCATGTAAATTATTAAAGATCCCATTTTCCGAGGTCTCTTGATATATTGTCTTTGGATAATAGTTAAATGTGTTTGTGAATCGCAGTCAAGTGTTAAAACAAAATTTTATTTTCGTCCTGTGATCACAATTGGAATGGTTATCCCTGCGTCGGCAGAAGCTTCAGCCATCTCCATGCGGATTGCGAGAAACAAAACAAAATAAACGATTCACGTTTCGTTTCGCTTCGTTTCCTTATATCACAGTCAGTTTATTATTATATTATGACAATACGCAAAATTACGATAAATTCATAAAATAAATTAAAATAATTAATTCAATAGGAATTACACAAAATAGTTATCGTGCGTGAGGGGTGAACGTGTTTTCTAGAACATAGTAGTGCAAATAATCATCGACGCTGGTATCGTGCACAACTCTTCATTAAGAATATGTACTACCAGTGGACGGTTGACGAGTCAAAAGCCGACGATACGGCGGCGGCGAAAGTGGCGTTTGGATGTTGGCAAAAGTGTCCGACGTAAAATCTTTGCTTAGGATATCGCCAAATAGCGATTGTGGTTGCGAAATCGTATCATATTCCTCATTGAATCTATTGTCAAATGGAGCAACCGTGCGTCTATACTCGGTATCATACTCAAGTGCGCATCCTATGACTGATCTTATTTTCTCGATGGGTTCGTGTGTTACCGAAGGCTGCTCTTGTACTCTGACCTGATCACTCACAATCACCTTCTTTATCTTGTAAGCGGCGTCTGGTGATAGAAATGGAGGTTGCAGGGTGGACGTCTCGCCGTTTACCTCCGATACATGAGCTACCTTGACGTATTCTTCCACACAGAAATCGCTTTCTGATCCCCACATGAAAAACTTGATGTGTAGTTGATGCGAAATATTGATGAATTTTCCGGAATAGGTTGTTTTTGTTTTATCCGGGATGAATAAGTTTATATTTTGAGTGCATCCTCCGAAAGGATATCGTGGATCGTTTAATTGCACGTGCCGTATCTCCATATGCGGAATCACGATGCTTATCACCTGTTGTTCGACGTGCTCTACCTCGTTCTGTGAACATGAAAAATCCATCAAAGTCCTTAACGTTATTTCTATCCTTTCGATCACAACACCTGAGCGTAAAAACCGTAGAATCATGGGTATCGTCACGTGACTGCCCAAATTAAAGTTTTTATGGGGCGGTAATAAGAAGGTGTATTCGATTCCATCCATCGATTCACCGCATATCTTGTATGGCGAAGACAACGTGCGATCCAGTAATAAGGTATGCTTAAGAGGGCAATATATTTTTGCTATGTGTGAATTTGTGCCTAACAACCCTTTCGTGTTAACGGTAGCACGAAGTACATATCGGACACTTCCTATCTCGGTGACTATCGTCTCCGGAAGATTACGCGGAAGTTGTATTTTAAACGGTATATCCAAAATAGTGACCTCTTCGGTCTCTTCGAAAGCCTCCCATATCTTATTTGTTTGATTTATTAACGTTCGTTCTCCGGTATACACAACCTTGGACCTCGCCTGAGCTTTGTACCAAGAAGTTTTTTCAACTCCCTTGAACTGAAGAAAGATGTTCTTTACTGCACACGCCTTTTGATAATTCAGGTGAACCGTGCCAGTCAGATACGTGTCGGTATCACCGAGACTTCCTTGCTGAAAGGTATTCGCATTCTCCGCAAAGGAAAACGTTATATTTTTGTGTGTCTTTATGTAATCATTAGAAAGTGGCTTACTCAGATATGAGCTATTTGAGCTGGCAACGCTATATTCTGAACTCGTGTACGATGAGGAACGATGCATTTGCATTACTTGATTTCAGAGAAGCTTGTCCAAGTGAATTTAGAGGTTTGTCGTTCAGGTAAATGATTGGGAATTGGTTTTTCTTTTTCTTTTTCTTTTTAGTCGAGATTATCCTCACTGAAAAGAAAACCTAATTATACCTTTTAGACACTGAACAACAGTTTGTATTATTATTTATTTAACCTTTTATAATCTGGAAAAAGAACTAATGTTGACCTATGTAAGGGTGTGATACTGTTTATCCTGACAGACAATAGTCTATCTTCATGTGTCTTATTGATGCCTACATTCTTCTGAAAACCAATGATCCAAAGAAAATCATTACGTAACTTCGTATGTGTTACCCGAGTTCTAATGTGTTGTCTGTTCCCTTTTTGTCAATGCCTCCGTACTTGCATGCACTTCATTTCTCCTCACCGATTTTATCAATTAGGAAACATTTTGTCACATGATGTATCAAAAAAATCCTAAAATGCACAACGTGGCTGCAACACCCAATTTGTTTTCCCCCACGGATATTTTTTTTTTGGTACGCAAAAATAACAGTTTAAAAATGTTTCATGTTGGACGTGTATCCTCGGGCCGAAGTTCTTTGCTTACAGGAATTCCACGGAAAGTTGTGGTGATTGGTGGATCAGGTTTTATTGGTATGTGTTGGTTCGAGTTATTTGTCACCTCTGCATCTAATTCTTTTAAAAGCTGGCGATATTCCTTCATTTATCTTAACCTCTTTTTCAATTATCCGTCGGATATCCATAAATAAAAATTACAATGAGCTAACCTACATATTTCGTTACACGCCTGATACATTGATACATTTCATCATCATTCGATTTTACATGAGCACCAATAAATTCACATAATCCATCCCTCTTGCCACGCTTCGGAAATAATTCCTTTAGGCAAATATGTAGCCAAAGCATACATTCAAGACGCCAACACCAAAATCCAATTAGGTTCACGGCATCATAGAAACAATGAAGATGTGAGATCATTGGGTAACGTATTGGAAGTTGGAAGGTTGGAAACTTGCGATCTTCGAATGACACGTCATTGATAAATACATGTTAAATTTGCTAAATAAAAGGCAATCAGATCCTTCCCCCTTTGCCGAGTGACATTACCTCTCGATCTGACGTCTTAAGATCATGTGAGGGCGCTAGTGTCATTGTAAATCTGGTAGGAATTATGCACGAGCGCCCGCCAAAATATACTTTTGAAAATGTCCATCATCAAGGTGCACGTAACATCGCGCTGGCCGCCAAGGAAAACAATGCTCACCTTATACATATTAGCGCCATCGGGGCCGACGTTAATAGCGAGGTTCCTTACGCCAGAACAAAGGGTATCTATCAAATCTCAATTCTTTCTTTCCTCGAATGGGAAAATGTTATTTCCCTACCCATACTTCTTTCTTTTTAGCTTTAGGAGAAATCGCGATACGCGAGACATGTCCGGATGCGACGATTCTTCGCCCAAGCATTGTCTTTGGTCCCGAGGATGATTTCTTTAATGTAAATTTCTTTGCCTTTTATAATTCGGTGAAGAAAACGCCCCTCAACCTTGGTTTCTTTACATATCTAGAGATTTGCAAAATTAGCAAAATTTCTGCCCTTCATGCCAGTGTTTGGTGGTGGAAAATCAAAATTTCAACCAATCTACGTATGGGATGTGGCCATGGCCATACTCCACATAAGCGATCACCCTCAAAAATTCCAAGGAAGAACTTTTGAGATCGGTGGCCCGACCGGTAACGTGGTTGCATTTCATTAAAAAGTCATCGGTATTGGTTCCTCTGTTTTAACGCCACCCTGAATTCGAACATACAGTCTACACTTACAAGGAGATCATGAAACTTACTTTAAATCAAGCGGGAATGAGGCGTCCCATAATATCATTGCCTTGGTCTGTCGGATTGGTTCAAGGATTCTTCCTTGAAAAATTACCTCCGAATTTGTTTACAATTACCCGCGACCAACTTAAATTGCTCCAAAAGGACAACATAGTCTCCGAAGATCCGAATATACTAAAATTGAAAGATTTGGGAATTGATCCTGCTCCAGCCGAAAGAGTGAGTTGAAATGATGCCACTAAAGAAATTCGGGTAAGTGCAAATCTCGCATCTAATGTGGTGCAATCTACTATTTTCAAATCACAGATTTTGTACACGTACCTGAGAAAGCATGAAATCACAACGCCAAATAAAAGAACCCATCGACCATTCAACACGGATGTCGAAGATGAGATTCGAGAGATCAAGAAGATCAGAGAAGAAACGCCAAAACACGCTTTAGATAAAGAATCAGAATATCAAAAACTTCATACAAAGAAATAACCAAAGAAAAAAATGTTGATCTCGGCGCATTGTTATTTTGTTTTTGATTTGTGATTGAAACTTGAATTTCTCCGTGCTCATCCATGGCATAAATAATAAACATTTGCTCGACTGCGTATAATTTATATCTGTATAAATTTAACCCATGTATGGTTAACACTTCGATAAAACTTTCACATGCCAACGTCAAACGTCTTTGTTAATGTATGATTGAAATTATTTCGTCGGTTCTTTTATTCGAATAAAAATTTCTCTTATGTTTCCCTTCATACAAGGCTTAATTAAAATTGAACCTTTTGTTTTTCATTAAAATCATTACCCTTGAAATTGAATCCAATATGAATAAATAAAGTTAGTCTTTACTATGCATATCGTATCCCATATAGGTTC